TAACATGCATTTACAATGTACAACACAAGCCAAGATCACATTTATACTCATTTCATATTAAAACCATTACCTTGGTAACCCCTAAGGAACACTTCTGCAATGTGTGGTTAGCATACCATAATACCAACCCTACTAAGTACCCCCCTTGAAGCTACCTTAGTCATGTACTTCATTTTTAGACCTCATTATAATAAATAGTCACAATTAAGGAAATAGTCATGTAAAGTACATGAATTATGAGGAAAGTTATTCATAACAACTATCCATTCACTATAATGCATGCATTCAAATCTCATGGAAATGTAAAGGAACCATCCCATGACATCCTACAAAGTCTACTTGTTCAATATGGGAGTGAAGTCCCATACCCCCAGTCCTACTAAGCAAACTCACCAAGAAGTCATAGCATAATTCACATCTCATTCATTATCTTCATTATATAGGGAAAATTAGCCATGACCGACATAGACCATCTGAGCTACATGGAATCCAGTGTCGTGTAACCCCACACCGAGAAAGGTGTCCTACTTGCCTAAGGTAGGACAAAAATGTTTATCTATAAGGTGGATCCACTAGCTAAGGTCCTATGTTGGCACATAGTTTTAGGATAGGGAGATTGCTTCTAGAAACCCGCACTATTGCATTGGCGGAGGGGCATCCATATCATGAGTTCCCTAGTGGATGACCCTCCCTATTGCATTGGCGGAAGGGCCTTTATCTCATTGTCCATATCCATTCGGTGCTAAGAAATATTTCCCAAATTATACGTCATTAGTCTTGAATTTTATTTACATGTGTGAATGAGTGCTCTACCCTTCGTTCAATACAATTCATTAAATAGCTCATTGATTAATTTAAAGGTGAAAATGTACTTTCAACTTTAAAATCATAATTAGTATTTGAGAATGACTTCCACACCAAGATCATGTGTTCTCATGAGAATGGACTTTCAATCAACACCATAGGATCAACATGGTTTATTTATATTTCATGCATAATAATGAGTAAAGGTTCATAGGAGAACTATACTTTCAATTAACACCATTTGATTACATCGTAATCATTTTTATGCATGATGTGTATGTGTGTGTAATTGTCCTTGCAACAACCCAACAACAACATTATCATCATCCTAGAAAATTCATATAATATAAAGTGTAACGGTAAGGGAATAACATCCTTTCAACAATACCAACTTTACACATTAGTCATAGGAGATTTACTTTCTAAATGAATCAATAGTTTCTACACATCTCACATTCATATGCACAAACCCGAGCAATATGCCTTTAAAGGGCTTTGGAACAACTCATCCTAACATATAGCAATAGCACAATAGATAAGGGAATACCATGAGACAACAACTCATCAGTACATTACTCACATCATGATTGGCACATTATACTTCAAGTATTCATTAACATGCACATAATGTCATGATCAAGTCAATTCATGTTTAGAAGAATTATCCTAAACCAATTCAAGTCTAGGTGATCTAATCAAAGGCATTACATGAAGAGGTTCATCACTCTTGGAGGATCACCTTTAAACCCTCAATTTGTCTCTTTCATGATACAACCCTACACTATATCAATTCACCTTAGAAATCTTAGGTTAATCAAGTATACATGTAGAATCATACTTAGTCATACCTAGGGTCTGTAGGGAAGAGGAACATTATCTCAACACCACAACACACATGACAAGTAAGCACCTCCACTTTTCAAGTGAATCAATAATTCATAACTAGAATACCTATCACATAGAATTTCTTCATTTATGGCTCTCAAGGTTATCATCAAGATTCGACTGAAACGACCCCAAAAATGCCCGAAAATGTGCTTCGGAAACACCTATAATTGTAATTTCCATATATCTCAAAATCCGTGCATGATTTCAGAAATTCGACTTCATATTCTTATTCAGGGGGTAAAATTGAGTGGGAAATGGGTCTAACCCAAATTTTAGAGCAACCGTATCAAAATTCGAAAATCGCAAAAAATGCGATTTTCAGGGTCAACTTTAAAGGGGCATATCTCTTAGCACACAAGGAACTGGAAGGGACGCTACCTATTAAATTAAAGCCCTTCGAGTTAGCTTTCCAATGCAATTGGTTTCACCTCATTCCGAGTTAGGATGAAGGAGTTATGATCATTTTCGTAAAACCTGTCGGAGCAGAATTTCAATTTCCAGTAGCTAAAGTTACTGTAGCGGCTGGACGTTTTTCTTTTATAAAAAAGAGGATTGTCCCATACTTAGTTATATTTCTTTCTAGTTTCAAAACACTCTCTAAACCCTCTCCAAAATTCCACCAAGATCTTCAACCAAATTCAAACATCTCAAGTTTTAATTCCGGATTCAAGACTCAATCTCAAGCATCAATTCTCCATTCCAATCCTCATCAAGGATTCTCCAAAGTTGAGGTATGTGGGTTGATTGTGGAAACCTTCCTTTCCAGAAGTCCAACAATTTATCCTCTATTTTTACTTCAAGTTTATGGATCCTTATGATCATTTATGAACTCTTGAATTATGGAATTACTACTACACATCCTATTATGGTCTATTTTTGCATATTATCATGAAATGGAATTATTATGTGATGTTTATGGTTTTCATGCTTCCATGATCAAATTATGAAGGTTGATATATATACATGTATGTTGTTGGTGGGCTGATTTATATGAATGTTGGAATTGGTTGGACTTAGTACTCTTGAAAGACATGATTTTATCTACATGAACAATAGCCCACCATGTGTTTGATAAAATGTCATTTATAGAATTCTTAGGAAATGGAAGGTCCAATGTACATCCTATGAGTCGGATGATTATATAATTATTGAAATGATGATGAAAGGGATACATGTATATGATTTTCTCTATAAAAGTGTTGTGAGTCGACCAAGCCTAGTACGGGGGGTAGTAGGCCCGTATAACCGTATCAAGGGGTTGGTACCTTGGTTGCCTAGTACAGGGGGTAGTAGGCCCGTATAACCATATCGAGGGGTTTGTACCTTGGTCCCTAGCTCGGGGGGTGGTAGGCCCGGGTAACCACATTGAGGGGTTTGTTCCTCTTTCGCCTCTCCAAGGGGGTGGTAGGCCTTGGAAATACTATATTGATGGTCACTCACCACACATGTACTACGTCCCACTAAATATGATTCTTATGTAAGCGTCATTTTATGTATCATTTCTTTAATATGCTATCTATCGGGTATGATTATGCATTTTTCCTATGATGTCCATCTATTGTAGCATTGCATTGCATCCCATATACTTAGTACATTCAAACGTACTAACGCATACTCTATGCCTACATGATGTCACCATGTAGGGACCGGAGCACCGCTTGACCCTCCTCCTCCGCGTGGCTAATACGATTTCCTATCAAGGTTATTGGTGAGTCCTCCATTCCGGGGACGTTGCTCATGATCTTTTGCTATGTATAAGACTTTTCTTTTTAGTTATGTTTTGACTATGAGGGTGAGCCCGGTAGTTTGTCTTGGCCCCCGCTAAGTACTCATGTTTAGAGGTGGTGTTGGACAAGTTGTGTATTATGCTTGAGTTTGACTCATCTATGATATTTATGTATCATTTCTTTTTTTTTTCTCTTGCTCCCTTAGTCCCGATTTCCCCCTTGATTATGCTTATCGCTTATGGTCATTTTAATTGCTTCCGCGACCAAGGATGTGTAATGATATGCTATGAGGCTTGTTTGGGGTTTCTTCGGGTTCCCCATTCGCCGGTCACGTCTAGGCCCTAGGCTTGGGTCGTGACATCGACCCTACTTCTTGATATTAGAACATTATATAGGGTAACATCATGATACAATAATCAATTCAAAGTAAACATATTAGATTATCAACCTCCATTCATCAATTAATCCATACAAGAGTTTACAATTGAGAAAGAAGGGGAAAACATGGGTCATAAAGGGATTTTGTTCATAAACCAACAATAAACCATAAATACACCCACAAATTATCATATCTAAATATAAACAATCATGATTAAACAATTGAAACATTTTTAGAAGGTGACCCATGCTATTGATTGAAAACCTAGAAATTGGGGAAATTTGAAAACATAGTTGAAGGGGCTTCTTGGTGGTAGCTAACCAAGAATAAAGAACTCCCATACCTTAGGTGTAGATTCCCATCAAAATCCTATGAAAAAGCTTCCATCTTCAATCCCTAGATTGATCTCTTCCTTTGTTCTTCAATAGGGGTTCTAGAGAGAGGATTTTGGGAGGGAAGAGTAGTTTGGTTTTGATTTGGGGTCTTGGGTTCTAATGAGTTAATGAAGTGTTTTAACAACTTAAAATAGTTTATATAGGAAGTTAATTAATTATCTAATCACCCCTTCTAACCCCTAATTAAATAACTAACTAAAACTAAATCCCCTAACTTAAAGTAAAAATCTGGAAAACTGGAAGCATCTACGGATCACCCATCCACGAATCGTGGATGGGTCTACTGTCCGTGAATGGCCTCCATGGTTTGAACCTGGGGATTCATTTGCAGGCCTTTTTCAGGCCTTGACCTACGCCCATGAACTACGGGGCATAGGTTGATCTAAGGGGCGTGGATTGGTCTCGTAGGTCACCAAATTTGACAGTTTTTAGGGACTGTTTTGGGGTCCTTCTCAACCACCCCTTGGGAGGTCCTTGGGGAGTCGTACCTGGACGTTTAACCCCTAAACATGACATTCTAAGTACGGGAGTCATTTATTTGAGTTTTAACCCTCACACAACACTCCAAAACTCCACTAAAAGACTCTACAACAAACTAGCTCAACTTACTAGTTTCCGGGCGTTATAGTTGTATCTTGACGTTTGACACCTAAATTCCTCAACCTTGAATTGGGAAAATCATTTAACAAAATTTAATCAAGTTTCCAACTTCAAACTCACATGTGAGGCTCTAGTTTCACCTTATTGATTCCATTAGACTTTTGCTTGGTCTCACTAGATTTTTGGGTTTTTACAACTCTTTTGATGATGGCTCAAGCCGTAACTACTCAAGCCCAAGCCATGACAGCTCACGCTACTAGGGGTATTAAGATTCATGTGAACCTCAATGTGAGTACTTTGGCTTCTAGGTTGAGAGACTTTGTGAGGATGAGTCCTCTGGTATTTCTTGGTTCCATGGTAGGAGAAGATCCCCAAGAGTTTTTGGATGAGGTGTATAAGGTATTAATGCCATCAGGGTGACTTCTATAGAAAAAGAGGAACTAGCCGCTTTTCAATTGGATGATGTTGCCCAAATTTGGTTTACTCAATGGAAGAGCAATAGGCCTATAGGAGCGGGTCCTATAGAATGGGAAAAGTTTAAGAAAGCGTTCCTTGATAGGTACTTTCCCCTTGAGAAGAGGGAGGTTAAGGTGGAGGAGTTTATCAACCTTAGACAAGGTAACATGAATGTTCAAGAGTACTCTTTGAAATTTACCCATTTGTCTAAGTATGCCCCATCTTTGGTGTCAAACCCTAGGGATGACATGAGTAGATTTGTTATGGGTATATCTAACCTAGTTGAGGAAGAATGTCGTACGACAATGCTCCATGATGATATGAACATATCTAGACTCATGGTGTATGCTCAATCTATTGAGGAGTCCAAACTTAAGAGGAAGAATAGGGAGATCAAGAGAGTTAGATCCGATGAGAAAGGTCAACCATGGTTCAAAAAGAGAGCTCCAAACCAAGATTCTTCAAGCACTCCTAAGGTTAAGCAAGAGAAAGGTGGTGGAGCTCTAATTTCTAAACCTACTTGCACCACTTGTGGCAAGAGGCACTATGGGAAGTGCCTAGCCGGTACTAATGGGTGCTATGGTTGTGGGAAGAATGATCACCAAGTGAAAGATTGCCCTACTCTTATGGACAAAGGAAGAGTGTCATGACCCAGGGGTATCCCCTAGACGTAATACGGCGTACTCGACCGCGAAGGGGTCTTATAAAAGCCCTTAGCATAATCATAGACATAAGTTCATAGGAAAATAGAGCGGAATTTAAAACTTTTCTTTACAATCGAGTTCTTATATAAAATAATAGAATTTATACACTATGTCTCAAAACCATCTAATTAATGGGAACAAAACACTTGAATACAATCTTAGGGACTTAGCCCTTACATAAGTCTAAAACATAAAGTAAAGACATAAAGGACATATGGTCAATCCCTCAAATACAATGAGGACTCATCAATCTTCTTCTTTTTGATCTCCTATGAACCTAGACATGAGTATGGAATCCAATATCTCTGAAGCCTACACTTATAGAAAATGTAGAAAGAAGGGATTAGCACAAAAAGTACTAAGTATGGAAGCCATGCAATAAAGCCATTAAAACATGCATAAAAGGGACATTTCATTTGAAACCATGCTATATGCCATTTTGAACATCATCCTTGAAATAGTTGGAGAATGCAACTCATAAAGCAACTCACATACAATTCATCAAGCATAAGAGATATCATCATAAATACAAGCATAGTCTGCAACATAAACATAATACATATCCCAATCTTCACGGGACATAGTTCTTACACAGTCAATTACTAAGATCATCTCATCATAATAGAACTGCCACATAAGCAACACTAAGCTATACTTGTGAAATGCATAGATAGGATCCCATAATCCTACCAACACTAAGTATCAAATTTAGGCCACCAACAACATACATATTTTTCTTTACCTTATTCATAGCCAAATTACATAAGTAAGAAAACATTCATGTTCATACCTTGTAACAAGGGAAGTCAACCTTAACATCCATACTTACCTTTCATACATAATTCATAAGTCATCATAAAATAAGAGAACCTCACCATAACCCCTCTATAAGTCTATTGGTTCAATGTATAAGTGAAGTCTCATACCCCCCTCCCCCCACTAAGTAAACCCATTAGCTTTCATAAGCATGGTCCATATTCATATTCACAATTCATACAAAGCATACATTCAACTCATAATCATCATATCATAAAAGAGACATATCATGCCCACTCTCAAAGCCTACTTGTGAAATGCACGAATGAAGTCACATACCCCAATTCATACTAAGTAGATCCTCTTGAGGAAACATAGAACATGCTCATGTTCTTATTATAACTCATATTCTTATTATTTAGTGAAATTTAGCCTTCACCGACATAGACCATAAGAGCTACATGGAATCTGGTGTTCTACCCCCACACTAAAAAGAGGTGTCCTACTTGCCTAACGTAGAATGTACATAATACATAAAAGGTGGATCCACTAGCTATATATGTATGTGGGAACATAGTTAAGGGATAAGGAGATTGTTACTATAAACCCAGACTTTCTAACGTAAAAGGTTTCCATCTCATGAGATAACAAGTTTTGGGAACCCGGACTAACTAGAGTAAAAGGAACCCATTGGGAAGCCGGACTTTCGAGCATAAAAGCTTCCATCTCATTTTCATATCCACTCGGCGCCAAGCATAATTCCCTTTAAAAGTCATATTAAGTCTTTACTTAAGTTCATGGTAATAAGAGAATACACTGAGCACTCAAACCAACATTTCCTAATAGCTCATAGATCCATTAAATGAGAATGTCCTTTCATTTTAGAATCATCAACATGTGAGGAAACCTTTCATATCGTATGCATAGTGTGTTCATGAGCATGGACTTTCATTTAACACAACAATACTATCATATTCATAACATATCATATAGAGTCTTAACATATCATACATAGTCATATCATATCGTACATAGCCATATGTAGGTGTAGGAAAGAAGGATCTTGCATCAATACCACAATATACATAATAAATAACACCTCCACCTTTAAAGTGGATCATCATGGTCATGTACATTTCATGCATAAACTCATATACTCTTATTAGAGGTGATGTAGATGAAGTCCTTCCACAACAATGCCATATACAATTTAACATACATAATGGCTTCCTTCTATAAGCCTTATTATTCTTAACCTATTCATATAAGCTTTTACTCTTTAAACCTTAGGATTCATCCTCATACTTCAAGCCTTACTCTCAACAAATGCCTCACATGATCATCATACATACCTAATTCTTAAGGTAACCTAACCACATGCCTCATTCTTGAACAATTATGGTCATATATAAACATACAAGCTCAATCTCAACACTATACAACCATGATCCATCGTATAAGTCATAATCAGGTCAATTCATGTTTAGAAGATTTACCCTAAATCAATTCAAGTCTAGGTGATCTAATCGAAGGCATTACATGAAGAAGTTCATCTTTATTAGAGGATCACCCTTAAACCCTCAATTAGCCTCTTTCATGGCATAGCCCTAATTACATCAATTCACCTTAGAAATCTTAGGTTAATCAAATATAAATGTAGAATCATACTTAGATCATGTAATTGCATCATAATCAACTCATATTCAATCAATTGAATTAACTTCTAACAACATTCATAATGTAGAGAAAAGCCAAAGCTAGGGTTGGGGAAAACTCATGGATTCTTTGGAATTCAAGTTAAAATCATCTTAAATCAGTGGTATGACCAATAAAAAACATAATTCAACCTTTAAGAACAACTTTGAAAGGAATCCATGGGGTTGAGTTGAAACCCTAGCTAATTGAGTTTTCTAGAATTGAGTTAAAAGCTTTTGAAAGGGCTCCTTGGGTGATAGCTTCCCAAGGATGAAGAACTCCCATACCTTCTTAAGTGTAGAATCCTATCAAATTCGTATTGAAAAACTCCTTCCTTCAAGCTTTCCTTGATCTCCTTCTTTGTTCTTCAATGCAGGTTTCTAGAGAGAAGATATTTTGAGAGGAGGGCAGTTGTATTTTGATTTGGGGTTATAATGGAATAATGAAGTGTTTTAAGACTTCAAACTATTTATATATATATATATATATATATATATATATATATATATATATATGATATAAACCAATTAAAAATGACCCCACAAAATAATTAATTAAAAGGAAATTACCCAAATACCTTTAATTTGGGCAGCCCCCTTCAGGGACCACGGCCCGTGGTCCCTTGACCAATGGCTTTCCCAACTTGCTAATCCCCCCATTTCCTAAGGCATTTCACGAGCACTTCCACGGTTCGTGGTCGACCATTGGTCGTGAAGTGGCTCGTGGACTTGGGACAGTAGCTTGGCCCCAAGGCCTTGCCTCCCATGCGACTAAGGGGACTTCACGAAGCACTTTACGGACCGTGGTCAAGACCACTGGTCATGAACAAGGTCCCCTACTTGGCTCTAAAGGTTTTGGCTTCCCTTCCTCCTAAGGCATCTTCATGAGCCTTCCCACGATTCGTGATCAAGACCACAAGTCATGAAGTTGCTCGTGGAGGTAAGCCACATTGAGGAAGTCTTTAAGGAGCTACTGCCTTGGTCTCACGACTTACACCACGAGCCGTGGTAGTGGTCATGGACTTGAGGCAGCGTGCTTCCAAATCTTGGGCAGCCTTGGCCTTGGCTTGGGCCTTGCCCCCTTGGCCTTGGTTCTTGCCCTTGCTACCCTGAGCAAAACCTTAGGTAGTTTTCTAAACTTCCGGGTCTAACATGTACCTTGACGTTCAACCACTAAACCCCTCATTCTAAGCACCAAAAGTCTCATCTACGACCCTATTCCTCACACTAGCTCATGGCTCTAGTTTAGTCTACTAATTTCTGGGGAATTACAATATCTCCCCCTTAGGAACATTCGTCCTCGAATGACACTTTAAACACTTTAAGGAATTAAACACTCAAGACTAAGCAACCCATCATGCATGAAACATCAAAATGCACACACACAAGGTGGAAACATCATTCCATCTCAAGATATGATCAATGCAATATAAGGAAGTAGGAACTACATCTACCAACCCATTATGCATGAAATGCAACATATCTCATGTTCATAGGAGGAACTACCTTCTCCTAGTCATAACATGCTTAACATCCTCTCATGGAGCGCATATGCAATCACCTTTCAAAAAACATTTCATTTAAGGAGGAACTCTCAACTCCTAACTAAAACATGCTCATATAACCTTCTCATGAAGTACCATAGGCAATTCTTACTCAAAGCACTACAACATAAGGGAAACAATGCACATAAACTCATTTTCTTTTAAAACACAACATTTCACGAACATGCATAAATATCAAGAAGTCATGGCAACATATAAGCACATAACAACATTGTTAGCTAGGCACACCATCTCCCCCTTAGGAGTGAGCCTATACCAACACTTCTAAACCTCAACAATCACATAATCATAGGAGGAATTTACATTTTCCACTTAAAATCAAGCTCAACACAATGATATTGAGCCAATGTGCCATTTCATCAACAGTTTAGCAAAGCATGTTCATCAAACCATCTCATGAAGTCAAATATGCCATCATCATACTAGATTACTCAACCATATAAGGAACTTATAAATCATGAAAAACTCATTTTATACAAAACAAGAATCTCTCAAGAACATGCATAACATAAGGAGTTCATGGAAATTTGTAAGACACTCATGACTCCTAGACCTAATACAAGCCCAAAGAAGGAACTTTTGGTTTCAAGCTAGAATAAGAATATAAGAAAAGGATGAGGATATCAGGACTCTCAATCAATGTTGCTACTTAAGCACTTGATCTCCCCCTTGGGAGTAAGCCCCTTTTTTAGTAAAACCTCAAATACTACTCCTTTCTAACAACTCAAGACTTACCAAGGCTCATTATAACCTTCTCGGGCTCTAAAACTAATAGAGGTTTAATAACCATGCATCCAAACCCTACCAAGGTTAACAAGAGTAACTCTAAGGGACAAGGGAACCATAGGACACATATATCATCCAAGACTCCAAATCATAAAATGAGTCAAGGTGAACTTATCATCTTTGAACTAGAGGACGAATAGAACAG